CCGCCAAGCCCCATATGAAGACCTTGTCATTGAGAGGCATTCGATTCCGAACCAATCGCCAGGTAAGCGAAAACTCGGGGCTACTGAGATAATCCACCCAAGACCAGAAAGAGCGAAACTCCTCCAAGTCGAACCGCTCACGTAGAGGATCCTTCACGACCCCTTCCACGATAGAAGATTCTTCTAGGCCGTGAAAGGTTACTGGACCGAGGAATGATCGTCATAGCGTACCGACACTAGCGAAGGAAATCCGATTGATCCCGGGGCTTAAGACGGCGCTCAGCGCACGAGATGGGGGTATTGATAGTAAGGTGAGGGAAAGATGACAGTTTATATCCAATCTTAACAACATGAAATATGCAGATAGCACAGTATTTATAGCACAGAAAAGAAACTACAAGAACTCTTAGAGAAGGTAGTAAAGGAAAGCAAGAAGAAAGGACTAAACGTCAATTGAAAGGATACAATGCAGGGTTGTTAGCAAAAGGAACAACCCAAAATGCAAATTACAAATTGGCGATACCAAAATCAAACATGTACAATAATTTAAATATCCGCATAGTAAATCATCCATAGATTTTTATGTATACATTTTATAATCATCAAATTTTTATGTAATGGAGTGCGTTTTTTAGGTTCCCTGAGAGTATGCGGCATTATGGTATATGGAGGATTGATTAGTGATGGATGAGTTTTTGTGGTGAATGAGCCAATATTTACGAATGAATGGGTCGCGAATCGGATCAGCTATAAGATAGTGACGACCAGCCTCAACCCAATTTCCCTTTTCGGCCTTGTGCCACAATTCTATACTCGTACAAAATAAATCTAAATAATTTAAATATCTGGGAAGGGTTTTAACAGAGGGCAGAAAATGCGACACTAGCATCCAAAGGTGCATTTAAATAGCGAAAGGTGCCTTTCAAAACCTAAGCAAAGCATTAAGAAACAGGAAAGATTTGTGAAAAACAAAGAAATACAAGTACTGTACTGTTACCTAATATCAGTCCTTCTATATGGCAGTGTATGCGAGACCATCTCCTCACATATGAAGAAAAGACTTGAAACAACAGAAATGTGTTAAGTGGAGGGGGTCATGAAATATCTAACTTCACGAAATCAGGTCTTTAACTATTTTAAGAAAATTTATTAACCAGAAAGTGCCAAGCCAGGGAAAACTGGATAAAAACTAATTGCAACTGATACCATTGATTGCCTTCACTTTGCATTCTTTTAGTTGCCAATATCATTAAATATTCTAAATTACTTACTTCCCATTTGATATTTCAAGGAAAAAATAATTTTACAGTTGAAAAAAAAAAAAGAAAATTCTTAAGATGTCTTTATTTAATAATAAAAAAGAAAAAACTCTTTCCATCAGGAAACAAATGAATTTCAAAATCATACCAAAAAATTACAAGTAAACTTTTCAAAAAATTATTCACTGTAGATATTTTTCACGGTCAAATATTAAAGAAAATGACGTGTTTTATTAAGTTACGTAAGCACCAACTCGTAACAAAAATTACTTCTTAAATTTTATTGAATTATTTTTATAAGGTTTAAGGACAAATTTTGAAAATGTTCCAATTTGATATTGCATTTTTTTTTTACCGAAATATCTTCAGAAATTTTACTTCATAAAACTATTTAAAAAATATTTGCTATTATCCCCAGTTTTAAAAGTATTAAAATATATCGACATGGCGGTGAGGGTTGTAACTGACCCACCAAAAATATTTTTATAAATTCTTCTATTAAATAACCTATTCAGTATACAATTCATTTATCAATAAGTGCTGAAAATTTCGTTTAAATCGAAAAATCCATTTTTTGATAAGCTAAAAAGAAAAAAACGAGAGTATCGCTTTTTAGTGCGTCCATTGACTGTACCTAATTTAGAAAATACTTTACAACACGCCTTTTCTTGTGTTGGACACATGTATTTTTATCAATTATTTTAGTGATAACACTAATCCACATTACCTGTCAACTTCAGCTATCCAAAATCGATATGTCCAATAAAATATTATTTGGTAACAGTTTCCACAACATCTTAATACCACAAGAGATAAAAAATATTATCTAACGTTGGATCAATCGCCATTTGTATTAGCTGCTGATCAGCCAACTCGTGACGCCATCATCACTGGGCGGCGGCGTAGGAAACTAGACTTACTAATTCTACAGCATTTTATTATAATACGTAATTATGTTAATAACGTCTTCCTCTAATTCCTAATCATTTACAATGCAGTTCTTCTGGATTTTAATGTGTCCTGTAAGTAAAATCACTAACAATGCATTTTCATAGTAAAAATATTTGTAAGTCTCGTATTATAGTAAAATCATTTGTAATGCCTTTTTATAGTAAAAACATTTTTTACCGTAAGATATAATGGCATAGATGGAGCGGTGTTGGAGATTAACTGAGAAGAGAACCGTGTTACTCCTACATTTCCTTACGCCATCTAAACTGCATGCAAAATAATTCCTCAGTTCATACATAACGATTGAAATTTGAAAAATAACACTTATAACTGATTATGCCCATGTATGCGTGAGAGTCTCCCTCTAAATTGGGCCTTCTGCCATATTCCATTCTAGCGATAAACATCTCTTCTGGCGCCAGGTAACATAATGCCGCCAAGAACCGAATTCGCCCTCAATCTCCACAGGAAAGGCTCCAGTGCAAACACAGAGCAAGGGCGAGAGGGGACAGCCATGGCAAATGGATCTGGCCCAGATGAAGAGCTTCGATCTTAACCATATCGAGGAATAACAGTGTTTAAACATTTCAAAGACTAAGAGGTTAAATTTAACGTAAGCTTTAATATAGCAAGAGTTTAAAAATGGGATTTTACGATTTCGTGTCACTTTTAGGCAAGTAAATCCTAACTTAGCAGATATATCGCTTTATAATGAGATTCGTGTGTTTAAGAGGTTATTTAGACATCGACACGTCAAGACTTAACATTAACCTTGAGAAATTAGCTCGTACCTTTATCTTCTTATTCATCTTACCAGCTGATCATGCACAATGTCAGATTTTGAAATTTATTCGTGTGGGTGGGGGCGAGTACGTCACATTAGTCGGCAAATTCAGTAAAGAAACAAAATGAAAGAGAAAAAAACAGACAAAAGAAAGAATCGGAAGGAAATATATATAAAAACAGAAAAGGAAAAAAAGAATTGAGCAAAGGGAGAAGCATAGAAAAAGAAAGAGAAACAAAAAACACAGAAAAGCAAAAAACGTAAGTGATAAAGTGAAAGAAAGAAAGAAAAAAGGTAGAAAAAGAATGAAAGACAGAAAGATAGAATGGGAAAATATGAAGTAAAAGAAAGAAAGAAAGAAAGAAAGAAAGAATTAGAAAGAAGGAATAGAACATAGGGAAGAAAGAATATAAAAGTAGAAAGGGAAAGAGATAAAGATGTGAAAATAAAAAAATAAAGAAGGAAGGAAAGACAGAATGACAAAGAGAGAGAGATACGAGAGAAATGAAAAGAATGTGAGAAAAACGAAGGAGAATATACATGGAGTAAAAGAGAGAGAAAAAGAGGATAGGGAATTCATCATCACAATCAAAAATAAAAAAAAAACGTGGAATTCATCATCACAATCGAAACATGCAACTCTTGAATGAAAGAAAGAAAGAAAGAAAGCAAAAAAAAACAGGAAGTAAGGAATAAAACTGAGTGGGAAACAAACAAAAAGAACAAAGAAGATAAAACAGGCTAAAATTAAAAGAACAAAAACAATGCAGAAAAAGAAAGAAAGACTTGATCGATTCATTTTCTACGGGTTATCAACCCTTTGCAGGTTATTTAAAACCAGAAAATATTTTTTGAGATAATAATGATTTACTGATACAAGTCTTACTAATTAACCGATAACTGGGGGAGAAGAGGTGGATTCATACCTTTCCCAATGGTATTTGCGTGTAAGTAACGAATTGAAATTGGAACTCGGCTCTCCTATTAACAATCCCGAACCATTGTCCATTATACCACCCTCACATCTAAGCTTACAGCTCCTGTATTCTAAATCTAAGTACTGACCAGGCGGAACGTTGCTTAACTTCGATGATCGTACGTGAACTGGTGTTTCAATGCGATATGACCGTAAGCCCAACGAAAGAGTGACAAATAAAAGCGAAACGAAAGAAAAAAAAGGAATGGAATTGAGTGGGAAACAAACAAAAAGGACAAAGAAAACAGAACAGATTGAAATTAAAAGAACAAATAACAAACGGGAAAGAAAAAAAGAAAGAAAAAGAGAAAGAAACAAATAAGAGATTAACAAAAAACAAATGTGAAAACTAAGAAAAGCGTGAATACAAGAAAGACAGTCAAAAGAGAAAATTAAAAAAAAGAAAGAAAAGAGGACGAAGAAATAGCAGAAAAGAAAGAAAAAGTGAGGAAGATAGAATAGAATGAAGGAGAAATGTAAACGGCATCTTGGGGCATGTGTCTATGGGTTCGTTAGGCACAAATAATGTATTCCATTTTTTCCTGGACAAAAAATCCGTCCGGTAGAACGCAGTTGAAAACGGCTGTCCAGACGCTATCAAAATGGCGGGAAAAAGGTTCGAAATGGCAAAAGAAAAAGCGGACGAAAATAGAAACTCTCCGTTTGACTGAAGACGACGATGCAGAAAGAAGAACTCCTAGGATAAAGTGGAGAAGAGGAGAACGCACAAATGGGACGAAAGGCGAGAAAATATCCGAAGTGACAGTATTCCTGAGATAAAAAAAAAGGAAAAAAAATAAAGCAAGTCAGAAGATAGAGTTACGGTATCGCTGAAATCGGCAAAATATTTTTAATTATTTAAAATCCGAAACACTTAAGAGACGACGCCATTTTCTTTGTTAGGTTTTTATTTTTAAATTATTTTGATTACGCACGCATGCATACGCACACGCACACACAATAACATATTCATTATATATGTGTGTGTGTGTGTGTGTGTATAAAGCAAAATTTGCGTATTTCGATTGTGATGATGAAATCCACTGCCCTCTTTTTCTCTCTCTCTCTTTTACTTTATGTACATTCTACCTCTTTTTTATCACGTTCTTTTCATTTCTCTCTCTCTCTCTCTCTCTCTCTCTCTCTTTGTCATTCTGTTTTTCCTTCTTTATTTTTCTATTTTCTCAACTTTATCTCTTTCCCTTTCTACTTTTGTATTCTTTCTTCCCTATGTACTATTCTTTCTTTCTAATTCTTTCTTTCTTTTTTCTTTCTTTTACTTCATATTTTCCCATTCTGTCCTTCTTTCTTTTTTCTGTCTTCCTTTCTCTCTTTCTTTTCCTTTTGTACTTTCGTTTTTTGCTTTTCTGTGTTTTTTCTTTCTCTTTCTTTTTCTATGCCTTTCCCTTTGTTCAATTCTTTTTTTCCTTTTTTGTTTTTTCTCTATCTTTCCTTTCGCTTCATTCTTTTTTCTTTGTTTACTTGTTTCTTTCTCGCTTGCTTCCTTACTTTTACTTTATCTCTTTCGGTTTCTTTCGTTCTTTTGCTTTATCTCTTTCGTTTTTTGTCATTCTTTCTTTCTTTCTTTCTTTCTTTCTTTCTTTCTTTCTTTATCTGCTTTCCTAATTCTTTTCCTTTGTTTCTTTCTTTCTTTCTTTGCTTATTTTTGTTTTACTTTATTTCTTTTCCTTTCTATTTCTTTCTTTATTTCATACTTTTTTGTTTTATTATTTATTTCCCTTTGATCCTTTCTTCCATTTTTCGTTTTCTTTTTTACTATTTTTCTCCTTTCGATCCAGTCTTTATTTCTTTGTTTCTTTCTTTTACTTTATCGCTTTCTCATTCTATTTTCTATTTCTTTCTCGTGGGCCATTCTTTCTTTCTTTCTTTCTTTCTTTCTTTCTTTCTTTCTTTCTTTCTTTCTTTCTTTCTTTTCCTTTTATCTTTCCCTTTCTTCACATTTTGTAGTTATTTATCCTTTGGCCTTTCTCTTCAGTTCACTTTTTTCTTTTCGTTTATTTTACATCCCCCCTTGCTTTCTCTTCGTTTTCAATTACTCTGTTGCTTTTTCCCTTTATTTCTCTATTTGCTTCTCACTCATTTTATTAAGATATTCCTTTTCATTCAGTCTCCTCTGTCTCCATTTTCATTTTATGTTCTCCTACTCTTTCATTCTTTTTTTGTTATTTTTTTAAAAAATCTTCTTCCTCCCTGCCTCATTCCTTATCTTTCTCTGTCTTTCTCGCAAATTCTCATTTTGTCAAATCGGCCATCGGCCTCGTCTCGGTGTTGTTGTTATTTATTGAAATGAAAACACCACTAACAAAGGGTCAACGCCCTTTTCTCTATTTTGATGAAACTCAAGAGACCGCTCGCTTCGTTTGAGTGTCAACGTCGCACCCTTACTCTCCTGTTCCTCCTCCTTACTCTCCGTTTTGCATCACTATGGGTTGGGCTACCAAGCCCACCGCCTGGGGACCTCAACAACTTGAGAATTACACTCAACTAGCGGCGTTCTTAATGTTTTAATAGTTACCAAACGGAACTGCTTATCCGAAAGAAAATATATAGCCAATCGGGGTGGAAAGTGGGAATCAGTTGAGGGTGTGGTCGTGTTGACCACAAGAGACCAAGAGACGACCACCGGTCTGTCATTAAGAAATATGCCTCGTTACTCTGGTATGCGCCTTTTGTATAAAAGCTTGGGGTGTGAGGATCCCTTGTTAATACGACGGATTTTACAAGGTACGTATAGCATATTTGCTTATAAGCAAAGAGAACAAAATTGGAGTTGCAAATTCTACTTCTGGTTGTAATTTATACGTTCACTTTAATAACTTTGGGAAAAGCATGGACCTACTTATCTCTGAAAACTATTCTTTTACTGATAATTTTAGTAGTGGACAAGTTTCTATAGCACAAAACTAAATAAAGGGAAGGTAAATGTTAGACACTAAAATTCCTCTTCAGTCGGTACAAATGCCTTGAAAATCAATATAATAAACCCTACTTCCCAGCATTGCACACACTATATATATATATATATATATATATATATATAAAAGGAGGCATGGTGGAGTAATGGATAGAGGCTCTTATCATGTATCGAAAGATACATGATCGCCTAAGTGTGTATCACGCATGGCACATAACTGACTGATATATATATATATATATATATATATATATATATATATATATAATATCTGGCCACTCGTATACGAGGATACCAGTTTACTAGGGCGGCTAGCAAATCCCAGTTAAAGACTCAGGCACATTTGTGTTTGTTCAACACCCACAGAGCCAACCTGTGGCTTATACTGTAACGAGGCTGAGCAGACCTTGGTTACAGTTTCTGGGAGAGAGCGTGTTATCTAGAATGATCAACAATCTGAACAACATCAGCACACTCAAACCCTCGGTCACGATGACTTGTGACTTCGTGCTAGCACACCTATCAATGGCCCCAAGTGTTCCGTCTACCCAATTTCACTCACAATTTCATACATATATATATACACACAAACACACACATATATATATCTTAATACACACACACACACACACACACACACACACACACACACACACACACATATATATATATATATATATATATGTATGTAAAGAGAACGAATCAAATATCAATTCAAACGTTCACAACATTAATGTAAAATAGGGCTCAATTACAATAGTAGAGCTATAATTCTTTATTATAAGGTATTACATGAGAACATATATAAATCGCTACATTAATGCATCCCTATTTCGATGCCTATCATAGCATCTCATCAGGCGGTGCTAAATGAAGGTTATTACAATTTTCAAGGTCAAGTAAATATTAAAAATTGTAATTACCTTCACTTAGCACCGCCTGAAGAACATGGGTGCATTGATGTGGTGGTTTATGTATCTTCTAATGTAATACCTTATAATAAAGAAATATACATATATATATATATATATATATATATATATATATATATATATATATATTCCTCAATAAAGCTGAGCCTACCATTGAATTCACACAAATTTGAAATAAACAATTCTCTACCTATCCTCGGCATTTTATTAATACGCAACAATAAGAAATTAGATTTTAAAGTTTATCGTAAACCCACTCACAAAAACGATCTAATCAATTTCTATTCCCACCACAACCAAAGAATAAAATCTGGACTAATCATAGGATTTTACCTCAGAGCCTTTATCATATCTTGTCCGGAATATCCTATATGAAAATGAGAACTATATTGAGAAAACATTCAGACTTCTTCTCTACCCACATTAATTTGCCCTCAATAAAATTCACAAATCCCAAAAAGCAGACCCCACTAATAAGATTTCTAGCAAAAATAACCCAAAATTCATAATCCTGCCTTCCAACACTCTTTATACTAAAATCGCAAACAAATTATCCATTCCCAATACTAGAATCGTTACCATCGTCTGCAAGACAATCGGACCTACATTTAAGAAGAAAAATAAGATCAACATTAACTCAAATGCCGGGATTATATATATATATATATATATATATATATATATATATATATATATATATATATATATATATATGTTTTTATATATATTATTTATATATTATATATGCGCAGTACTTATTAGAAAGCGCTCAATATCAATGATAGAGCTAACATATTTAGTTGGATTGATGTGAGTTTGTCACCTGGCTTTCACGCTATTTGCGATCGTCAGACAAACAGTTTTACAAACTCACATCAATCCAAATATATATATATATATATATATATATATATATATATATATATATATATATATATATTACAAGTAATAAATCCGTTAGTAGTAGTAGTAGTAGTTGTTAATAATAATAAAAACATCAACAACAACAACAGACATTTCCCGCCGATTAATTTTATTGGTCGACTTTTATAAATTACCACTAATCCTTCTCAGATAAGGAGGAAATTCCATCAGAAATTGTCCAAAGTTCATTTTGGAAGAAATATGGTCCAAGCTTTCGACTTTCTTAAGTCATCATCAGGGTGCGTAGAGACAAATGATAATTTTCGTAGAACTGGTAAGTGTAGTGTCGTGGGCAAAAGTGTTGTGACGTAGGGGAGATGTGACGTGTGCGTACGTGTTTATTCTATTTTATTTAATTTTTTTATATAAATTTGAGCATGTGTGTTCTTAAATTATAATTGAATTTATTTATAGATTGTTGTTTTTGTTGTATGAGTATTGCTTCGAAGATCATTAACCATTTTTTACTGTTTCATTTCGCTAATATTTTGGCATTTTTGTGAGTAGCTGTCTAATGTTACTATAATCCATATGCTGCTTATTAGTGTGTGGTCTGATGGCACTCTCTTCCGATAGGTGGCAGGTGAGTATCCGTGACAGTGTGGATGTGGTGTATCCTACATATGAGGTTTTGTGTTATTTTGTTTGTTTGTTTGTTTTTTTATTTATAGAGAAACATTCTCCGATTGGGCAAATATTGGTCTTGTATAGGGACTTGGAAGTTTGGTAAATATTATTTTTAATAACTAAGTTGCTAGTTTTGATTTTTTTTTTTTACTAAATAATGAATCGGATCTATTTGTTTTCATCGACTGGTTTTATATATCTATGCATGATGTTATTTATTGTCTCTTTCGTCTTTTTTTTTTTTTTTTTTTTGTAATTGTGATGCATTTGATTTTGGTAATATTTGTTAATCGCGTTATTGTCAATATTATGTTTATTGTTAAAATTGCTGTTTGGATTTAATTTGATTTGCCTGTTGACTAAGTAATGAAGGCAGCCACTATGAATAAGTGTTTTTTTTTTTTTATTATATAATTCTTTAAAGAAAATTATTTTGGATGAGGAAATGAGTTTAGCTCTTTGGGTTAGGTTATTACTGACAGCATTTTTTGTATTTTACAGAGCATTCAGTGTTGTAGCTTAGAAGGCAAATGTTAGAACGAAAGACCTTTTGTACGAAGACGTAGTAAAATTATTGCTGTTATAATCAATGAGAATATCTAGAAATGGGATTTTTATATCAATGTTTAGTTCAGAAGTGAACTTTAAAAGGGATTTTTTTTTAATTTTAAAAGTTCTATGATGACATTTACGGATTTCATTTGGATGAAAATGTTATCATTATATCTGGCATAAATTGAGGATTTATTAATTTTATTAAATATTTTGTTTTCTAAATTAGCCATACAAAAATTTGAAAATAAAGGACCGAGAAAGCTGTTCATAGCGACACTGTTAATCTGGGTATAAATATTACCGAGGTGGTCGTAGAAAGGGACTTGTGTTTTGGACGCTAATAAAAGTTTTTGTTTTTTTAATATTGTGTAGTCAGTTTTTAAGGATGGCAAAGATGAATTGTGATAAATGTTATTTAAAATAATGTCAATTGTTTCACGGACTGGAATGTTAGTGAACAAATTTTCAATGGTAAGATTTCATCCTGTAGTTTGTGGGAATGAAGAATTTGTAGTAGATTTGATGCACTATTTGGTAGTTAAGGACGGTATGATTAATTGATTGACATTTTTTGATAATTGTCTGTAGTCTTTAATAACATTTGTTTAAAAGAATATTTGCTGCCTAACTACACTATATATATATATATATATATATATATATATATATATATATATATATATATATATATATATAGTTTTAGGAGGCAGCAAATATTCTTCTTAATATATATATATATATATATATATAATATTAGGCAGCATATATTTTATATATAAAGAAATAATCCTACATAGAATCAATCAGCAATATTAATGCGATTAATGGCGAAATCACTTCGCTAGTAGAACATAATGTATGCATTAAAATACTGTTAATCCATTGAATGATGTGATCCTCATTTATAAAACTGTTGTCAGATGTGTCTAGTGTATATTTTTGTAAAGTTAAGCAAGTACTTTCGAAGATGCACTAGAAACATCTGACAACAGTTTTATAAATGAGGATCACATCATTCAATGGATTAACAGTATTTTAATGCAGCCTGAAGAAAGGAAGAAAAAATGCAAGGAACCACACAAGAGGAAATTTTGGAGAGCCATGATCGCCTATGTCCTTGAGGGACACGGCACATAGAAGAAAATTGTTCAAAGACATTCAAAAAGAGAAAAATTAAGTTTTGAAATGCTAATGTGAAATTATTTCCATAAGTCCAATGGGACGTCATCATCGTCATTGATGATTTTCCCGTAAGAACTGAAAAGACCAAAAATGTTACGATAAAAAGTGACGAATACGCATTTTCATGCAAGGATATCAGTAAAACATCCAATGAGAAATTTTCATATCTTGGTACCAATAACAGGTAACAGATAAGTGATCCAGATTCAAAGACATTTATAGACATGAAGTTGAAAACTTTTGCAGGAAATTAATCCGTTTCACAAGCAGAAATTGTCATGCGCCACGGGGAATGATAGAAAACAACAATAATAAAATGAAAATAGAACTAGTAATA